GACCTTTTTATTTAAGCAACATTTCAAATGTTAATACTATTGAATTTTATCTGGCCAGGGCGGCTTATTTTATATTGTGTGGAAATTGTATTTTAAATTATTATTATTCTAATATGTATATTTTAATTTATGTGGTTTTAATTTATTGTTGTAAGCCGCCCCGAGGCTTCAGCGAATGGGGTGGCATAAAAATGTTTTAATAAATAAATAAATAATAAAATAAATTTATTATTTAATAAATTACAAAAAATAAAATAAAAGCACAGTACCAAAATATTTTAAAATATGAAATGTTTCAGTACAACACCCCAACTTTAGTCACAAATAGGTGTATGTAACAGTTCTACTTTATAGCTGAGCCAAATACCATGAGGAACAAGCTAACCTTGATGTGGGAACATAGATTTAACAATTACTGTGTCCAGAAGCACCTCCAACTTCAGTACTTGTATCCTGGCTTTCTAAGAGGAAAAAATGAACTCAGGATGGATGTCCTGCCTAGAACTCTGAATGGAAGCATAGCTGTTAGGGAAAAGGTCTCATTCATTGCAAGGTTAGGAGATTAGTTTCTAACTACAAGCCCAGTCCAACAATTTGGGTGGAAAAAGAGGGTCATCTAAAAATAAGACTGTGGTTTCTGCAAACAGAAGGAGTTTCATTTCATTTTCTTGGTCGAGGGGAAATCGGGCTCAGACAAGTGCAGAAATTGTTACACCTAGAGGAAACCATACCATCTGGAAATTTTATGGGACAGCTATATTATCTGAAGTAGACCTGAGCCTACTACATAACTGTGCATTGAAACAGAGTCTGCTTAGAAGTGTCTGCTCAAAAGTAGACACTACTCAGTTCAGAGGAACATATTAAGTACAGGATTGCAGCATTTTATCTTCCAAGAAAAGCATCTGAACAGGCTCTTAGACCACTAATGTTGTTTATCTTCCATATTCTTGTATCATTTTAGCTATTGCTGTGAATCCTTTTCAATTCGTCAACACCCTCTTTTTAAACTGTATTTATTATATAATTCAACTGCAAAAACATGTACAACACTATATGCAAAGGTACGAGTACCCTTTCCAAAGCCAGTAAACTCGGAGCCTAATATTAGCTAAAGCTTGCTCAACATCTTTTTCCTAATGATGAAGTGATTGATGCACCGGTGACTCTAAAGCGTGTATAGAGTGAATTTTATTGGGAGTATTGTCAAAACTAGAAACATCACACAGCAGCACTTGGCATCAGTGCAGATTTCTAAGGCAGAAAGCATAATTTTTAAGGCTGAATTGAACTCTTCCTCAATTTCTTGAAGCAAAAATTAAGTCCAGTGGGAGAAATAGCGTAAACTTAAAACAGCAAATTTAAACTTTCTCTGCCCGCTGCTCTTACAACGACAGATAAATTATACGTACTTGTTATTACAGCTTACTTAATACGATGTTGGCTTCCAGTGCTCCCTTCCAACCCGGCAGCAGTCATGGAAATCTCACTTTGTTAACTCTATGTCATTACGGCTCTCCACGGCGACGGTCGGCCGAGTAGTTCCAGCCCTTCCGCGGAAGGATCCTTGTTTATGTTTGCTCTGCTGAAGGTTTCCATGGAAATGAATAAGCGTCGAAGTAGGAAGAGTGGTCATCTTCTGCTCCTTTCATTTTTCAACTGCGCTAACTCGTGAAAAGCCTGGAAGCTGTGGGATATAGTTTTGTTCCATTTGAGTGGCCGAAGGGTTATGCCGTTGTTAATGTTAACAATGAAGTGATGCGAAAAGGGGGCGAGGGGAAGAATATAGGTTGCTGCTTACGTTGCAGCATGAGAGCTTATAGCGAGGCATCTGGAATAAAGTGGAATAGGCATCTGGAATAAAATAAACCCTTGAGAGGGACTAAGGTTTCTGGAAGATGGAATTGGGACCTCCAGATGTGATGCAGCGCAAAGGAGCGCTAACGTTACGCTCCCATACTGCCTACTACGGGAGACCCACTCTGGTGTACCGCTGGTAAGATTAAGCAGTCTAGAGACATCTAGATAAGCGTTCATGTAATCCTGGAGTTTAACTTACAAGACTGACAAATTGTTATTTTTTTTATCTTAGAACCATAGTTGCTTTAACTGTGAAGTTGTTTCCAGTTGTTTGCTTGTTTTTGCAGCTGTGAAAGCCAGACAATTTTGGGTATTTCTAATATGAAGCTTTAAAATTCCATTAAAATTCCATTCCATTTTAAATGTTTATTTGTACATGTATTTATAGGCTACCTATAACTGCCGAGGCCTTCTTAGGCGGCTTACAATACATAAAACATAAAATAAAACACATTAAAACTTATTAAAACATAATGATTTGTTATGTTGTATTCTTTATTGTTCAACATTTTGTTTAATGTTGAGTTCAGACTTTACATTTAGATATCCTGAAAGCATTTAGCTGTGTGTCCTGGCACAGTCTCTAATCAGAAAAAAATTCCATGTTCTTTTTGCCATACTATTTCTGGAAAAGCTGAGAGAAGTCCTAAAAAATATGACTAGCTTTGCACAGATGTATGTGCTTTTTGGTGTGACTATTGTAACCACCTCTTCAGTAGTATTCTTATGACTTTGCACTCTTTTTATTATTACAGGTACTACAATAGAGAGGCTGAACCTAAGGATTATGACATTCATCAAATTCCTTTGGGCTCTAAAAACTTGTGTCGCTCTACCTATTGGCGACTTGGAACCATGGATGAAGTAGGAATTGATTTTTCTATCACTTTAGTGCTGCCTTTGTTTATTACTTTTCTATATTACCCAGTAGCTGAAGCTATATATGTTAAATTTGGAATGTGGTACTGGCATGCATTAATAGTTCTCAACATTCTGTCACTTTGATTATACTTAACACAGATGACAGTGAACTGTTTTTGAGGGGCAGGGTAGGGGGGCAGTTTGTATTGCCTCCTGTGGAACCAGGGCCCATTTCAAAAGTTTGGAGAAGCGATGCATTCCCAACACTATCACAACCAACTCATTTGCTTGTGGTGGGTACATTTTTTACCAATATCTCTAGCAAATGCATTTAACCTTCTACAATGGCATGAATGATGGATATGAGGCCAAATTCTCCCATCTATCAATCAGACTATGGATACAGGCAAATTAATGTTGGGATTAGGCCTGCTTCTTGAAACCAATTCCTGCCCTATGCTTTCCCGGGTAGGGAAGACATGGTGGCAAGTCTGCTTGGGGCAAAGGTTGAAGAAGTGAGGGCAGTAGTGAGGGTAGAGTGGTGCAGGGGTGAAGCACTGGGGGAGAACAGAGGCAGGAGAAGTATAATGGAATGGGGAAAGGGCCAGAACTTCCATAAAAATATGCTGTCTGTAAAAATAGGTACTTAACTTCTTTTAATAGAACACTACCAAAAGCACAAATAATTGTATTTTACATACAATAATGAACTGATACCTGATATGTTTCTTACTTTCTTCACCTTTATGTTTACTTTTAGAAATGGGTAACCACTAGTCAAGATCATCTGTCTCAGCCATATAGAATTAAAGAATATAGGGAACTAGAGATTCAGAAACCTCTGCTGAATGAAGAAAATTTTGACATAGCTGTTCTTGGAAGGTATTTCTGGATGCCTTTGAAGCCACATTCATCATTCAGATTATACTGCATGTATTTCTCTTTCCTCTCTTTTTTCTGTCTTCTGCATCCTGTTCTCAAAAATATTGAACACTATTGATACTGGTGTTCTATACTTTCAGGAATTCCTACACCTTTTCCAAGGTATCTGTCACACAACTTCACCAAATGAACGTGGGATAGAAAATAGAAAGAGTAGCATTCTTCATTAAACCATTCTTGACAAATCCACTGTAGAGTTAAAGTAGTGCTACTGAAATGGAAGGTTCTAATCTGCTTTGTACTACAGATATCTGTCAGAGGGCAAATAGTTTTGCTTTTCAGGTGGTAGTAAGCAGTAAAGTTAAAAATTAAAACATGTTTGAAGTGGTCTGACTCAGTTCATCCAGCAGAGAGCAGTGGTGGCCATTTATAGAAGAAACACACTGTGATAATCCTGGAAACAATGTTGGCTGAGTTAAAAGCAGCTATATGTTGTTGTTGTATGGAAACATGATAAGGACTTTTGCCTTTAGGGCTGCAGTGCTATCCCCTGAACTCAAAGAGACTCACTTTTCAGTAGACATGTATAGGATTGCACTATGACCAATCAAATTTTATTTAAACTACTAAAATCTGGCTTTCACTTAATTCTTTTGATTTTCTCTCCATCTCTCTGCAGGGAGACAGGGCTACCAGAAACAGGCTTTGGAGCTGTTCTGCCATGTCATTCCCCAGATCACTTTAAAATGTCAGTATTTGCAAAACTGTGATAGTTAACTACTTTAACAATGGTGTTCAGACTCTGTAGTGCATTTGCTCTGAGGTGTGGAAAGATGCATCAAATCTTCACAAAAAAACTATTTTTGTACCAGATAATACATGATTTTATTATCTTTTATGAAAGAATGAGTGTACAATATGGTTAATTATTTTAGTGGCTATATTTTACATTAAAATATTGCTATCATGGTACTTACTTTCAATCAAAGAAAAATAAGAAAAGTATTTTTATTCAGCCATTGTGCTATGTTATTTTCCTCTCCCTTCTGCCACCAATAGTTAGATACAACACCTCAACATTGCTTAAGACTGCTCTTAACTGCATGCTTTGGCAAAATTTTGCACTCTGAAATTCTTCCGTTGCTCTGACGTGACCTTAATCCCTGGTGAATAAGAGGTAAATCATACAAATGCTTAGATGAGGAAAAATCCTATAATTCCAGTTTCCCTCCAGTCAGAGGAAGATGGGAGTTGCTTGGATTGGCAGGGATGGGATGCTGTCAGGCTGCATCTAGACTGCAGTGATTCCTTATCTGCACTACCAATTTTTCTCAGATCTCACTAAAAGGCAGCCTTTCTCAAGTGTTAAGCAGGGAAACTCTGCTTTTATCTTAAATCAGTGATTGCAAATAAGAACAGGGTCTCCCTGTTCGTCTATTTCTCCATTCACAGAAAGATGACTGTGTGTGAAGAAAGGAGACTGCCATCTGGGAGCAGAGCTTCCAATTGATCATCCTGTTCTCACAGATCTTACTCAAGTGGTTCCCCCAGGTAGTTTAATACTAAGCATTTCCATTAACCCAGAAAAACATCTGGCTCCCTTCAACCCAGTTAGCAGGAAGTCCACATACGACACAGAATAGTAGATAGGGCAAGATGTTACTAGACTAAGCCTTCTTACCTGGCTTCCAATGGTCTGGCTGCTATACCTGTTATCTTGCTTATTTGGTTCTTTATAGTTTGGGTTTATTCGAACCAACAATATTAGGGGTTAGTGTCAGTTTTACAAGGAAGTATCGTTTTCTTGTAACTGTTCTCTAGATGATGTTAGTAATCTCATGTAAAGATCAGTTAAGGTTGCAATCCTGTACCACTTACTTGGGACTAAGTTTCAATGAAATCAGTGGGAATTTTGTATACACATGTAGAGGATTGTGCTGTAAGAATTTTTCTTGATAACCTTAGTAATACTAATTTTAAAAACTTAAGGTGTGCCTCAGCATGGAGGTAAGTGTAACTGGTTTGTTCTTAAAATAACTTATTGAATCAAAAAGTTGCACTATTTTCATGCAATTTATGGACCTAAAAACATATATTCTAAACATGATTAGCCTTTTGTTCTAAACATGATTAGCCTAAACACGCTAGTAATGGGACAGTCTATAAAAGCTTTAAATAAATAAAGTAGGGGGCTAACATTAAATTTGAGAGAGGTTCTGAATTTTTTAAAGAAGTAAATGACCCTAAGTAAAACAGCAGTACAGCAGAAGGTCCAACCTACTTAAAACACAGGTGAAATAGATTTGAGAACAAAGAAGAGCAACTTAATATGCAGGACCTGGGAATGGACCTGAAGACTTCACATGAAACAAAAGCATGTTCAATTTTAATTAAATCTACACTAATCCAACATGCTTATTTCTTAATAAATATGTTGATACATATTTATTAAACATACATTGACAGAATGTCTAGCATAGTAAAATCTGGTACCTGCTATGTTGTGTGTAAAATATTGCTTGCTGTTCCCCATCCTCTGAAATATGTCAATTAAAAATGCAAAGCATAACTTTTAGCTGCAAATTCTAATTGAACTGAAATGGACTAAAAGCGAAAACTTCAAACTCTGCAAGGAAATATAAACATTAAGGCTACAATTCTATATATGCACTTTCTTGGGGATAAATCCCATTGATTTCAGTGGGGCTTCTAAGTAATGTACAGGATTACACTTGGAAAAAGACTTTGTTTTCTGTTTAAATATGCACAGGATTGTGCCCTAATTCACTGTCTAAAAAAGGCATGAGCTAGTTCAAAGATTAAACCCAATTAGCATCTGCTGATTTCAGTTCGAAAATTAAGTGTAAGTTTCATTTTCTTCCACTGAAATCAGTGGGGCTGAAAAATGCTTCTCATTAGTAAGCTTGTGCCCGGGCCTCAAATAGCTAAGGGTACAGTCCTATGCAGGCTTAAGCAGAAAAGAGTTTTAAAACTTTCAGCATTCTCCAACTAGTCCCATGAGGAATATTTTTCTGTACATGGAGAAACGGAATGAACGGTGAAACTCTGCCCCTATCTCTGATCATTGATTGGCAATAGGAGCAGAGTTTGCTTTGTACTAAAAAAAGGTTGTCCTTGTTAGTTAGCATTGGATGCAGTCTGAGAGAGAAGCTGAAAGGGCAGATGCTTTCCTTATGACATATTCAGCATACAGGTTGAACAGATAGGGAGATAACATATACCTTTGTCTGATACCTTTGATTATAGGAAACCATTGTGTTTCTTCATATTCTGCCCTAAGAGTAGCTTCTTGTTCACAATACAGGTTACACATCAGGACAATCAAGTACTGAGGCACCCACATTTCTCCTTCAGAACCATTCATAGCCTCTCATGGTCCACACAGTCAAAGGCATTGCTGTAGTATATAAAGTGCAGACTGATTATCTTTGGGAATTATTTGGAGCACTTCAGTTGCTAACAGATAGTTGCAATATGATCTGAAGTGCTTCTTCCTTTTTGAAATCTAGCTTAAATGTCAGGCATTTCTTGTTCCATATAGGTTACAATTCTTCATTGCAATGCCTTCAGCATCACTTTGCTTCCATGGGACATTACCGCAATATCCCTAACAAATCGTTATTTGTTTTTCGGCGCCAGGCTAAGACCTTTTTATTTAAGCAACATTTTAAATGCTAAATACAATTGAATTTTATCTGGCCAGGGCGGCTTATTTTATAATGTGTGTTTTAATTAAGATGATTTTATATGGATATTTTAACTTATTGTTTTATCTATGTTGTAAGCCGCCCCGAGGCTTCGGCGAATGGAGCGGCATAAAAATGTTTTAATAAATAAATAAAAATAAATAAACTTGTACTTCTTAGCATCCCCTTTCTTGGTGACTGCAGTGTATATTGAATGTTTCCAGGCTGTGGGACATTGTTTTGGTTACCATATGTGTTGGCATATTCTTGTGAGGATTTGGTCTGATTCAGTCTCTGCCATTTGAAATAGTTCTTTTGGTACCCTAATAGTGAAAGCTTTATTCCTTCCAAGTGCATTCAAAGGAGCTTCCACTTTACAATCTGCTTCTGGTTTTATTTTGGCAGTGAGAATACAGCTGCTCCATCTCTTTAATCCAATAATGTAATCTCTCTGATTTCTAGATTGGCCATCTGGTCATGTCTGTGAGTATTGTTGTCTGATCAGTTGTTTGAATTATGTATTTGCAAGGAAAAGATTGTTGGCTTCACAGAATTCCATGAGTTGCTCTCCTGCTTTATTTTTGACTCCTAGGCCAATTGTAGTACAACACTGGATTCTACTTTGTTTCCTACTTTTGCATTCCAATCACCTTTGATTGTCAGCCTGTCTTGTTTTGGTATGTTATCAACTTCCTCTTGGACACTTGCACATAAGTTATTTTTGATTTTGATTTATTCTTCCTTGGCATCTGTTGTTGAAGTGTAAACTTGGATGATTATGATGATTATTTTTCAGTTAACTTTGTATTACAGCCCCTTATTGCTGCTTCTCCTCAGTATTAGAGTTACTCAGTTTCTTCTGAGTTAGTCACTGCTAGAGTAAAACATTTTGTGCTTGTCTAAGTGAAAATTTCCTCTTCTAGGCCATAATATTTAAATGTCCCATTTCTTCCTTTCCAGTTTCCATAATAAACAACACTTAACATTTAACATTACTTCTAATAATAGAATAAATTGTATGCTCTAGGAGGATCAAAGTATACCATGCAACAGTCACCCAGTTAAGAAATAACATTTAGCATACTGAATCAGTACAGCTTATGTTCCAAAAGGAGGTAAAACCCTCCCAGAGCAACCAGCTAATTACTTGACTAGGATGAATATGATTTGAAAGCCACAAATATGAAGGTTCATCTGCACTTGTCCCTTGGAACAAAACAAGTAAATACTCTTCAAAAGATGAGGTACTCTTGGTATTTTAGCCATGGTCCACTCTCTCATGCTTTTAGTTGTAGTTAACATATAGCTAGTGTTGAGGAATAGTAGTTCATCAACAGCTAGAGGATCACAGGTTCCCCAGCCCTGGACTAGAGGCACCACAGTGATATGCCAGGTGTAACGTCCAGATTTGGCAACTTGGTCCTGTCTTCATCTCTCAAGCTGAAGTACTTGGTGGTAGCTGAGCAATAAGCATCTTGAGAGAATAATGTTTCACTTCTCTTTCTGGTAGGTGCTCCTTGCCTTGGGTAAACATTGTCTGACTCAAAGATCCCTATCTATTGCTTGGACAATGGCACCAGCCAAGCCAAAAGCGGAACATAAAATGCTCTTCCAGATGGAGAATGAGACATACCAGCTGCGTTCTGTTCTTGGACACCTGCCATGTGAGAAATAGCACCTTGCAAATCAGAGATTGTAGAGAGGGCCAGTCGGCCTGCAATCTACTTTTTGGCAATCATGGTTCTGTACTTGAAGTGAATCATTCAGGCAAATTGTTAAGCACAGTGTAAACAATCTCCTATCTTAACAACTTTCTAGCTTTTTTAAAACTTTAATTAAAAATTCATACAGAAAGCATTTTGATGCATTTCATTGTTCATTGCAAAGCCACATATTTGTCAGATCCTATGTCTTTGAATACAGAGGTCTAGTTATCTTCAAACTCAAATATTTATTTAAAATTATCTTTAAGCATCCTTTGAGAGTAGAGCCCTTTCAAGGTGGCATATAGAATAAAAAATACAGAACAAAAATATACAAATAGGTAATAAATATACACTATTTAGAGAGCCACTGTAGTGTAGAAAGCCAGTATGGCATAGTAGTTACAGTGCTGGACTGGAATTCAGAAGATTTGTAGCAATATTATGATTTTGCATACATACAATACTATGTAGCATTATAGCACTTACTGCAGTTTTAGTCCCTACTCAGCTGTGAAGATCACTGGATGACTTTGGGCAAGTTGCAGACCCTCAGCCTAACCTACCTTACAGGGTTGTTGTTGTGGTAATAAAATGGAGAGGAGGAGAATTTGTAAGCCACCCTGAGTTCCTTGCAGGAAGAGGAAAGAAAGGATAATTAATTAATGATATGGGGCTGTGGTAAACTCCTCATTATAGCAATTATTGCAGTTAACATGAAATAATGAGGAACAAGTTTTATTAGCAGCTGTTCTCAAATATTGAAGATCTAGGCCTATTAATCTTTCAACAACAAGAAATTGGGACTCCTCCAACCGACAGTTGTTCAGCACTTCTGCAGAGAAACTTAGCATTCTTGTCTATTTCTCTCATCCATTGGTTAACTCCTGTGAAGTTGTCTAAATCTTTGAATGCTTGGGTCCTTTTGATTTGTTCTCCTTGAAGTGTTCCAGTTTTGTATGTAATGTGATAAATGAATAGTAATGAATAGTCTAGCCTTGAAAACTAGATCTGCACAACAGAAATATAAAAGGAACAGACGAGTAGTGCTGTAAAATATATTGGTGAGTAAGCTGACCATACAGCATAAATTTGATATTTTTCCTCCTCAGCCTCCTCCTGAAAACTAGATTTTATAATACTTATTAGAGCTGGATCATTTGCCTTTTATGGTAATGCTGAGCCTATTTCAAAACGTGAGTCATTGGTTTGAAGCAGGAACTTTACAGAGATCATCTTTTAAAATAAAATATGTGATAGCATTATCATGTTACCAGATGATTGGAGCATGCGTTGTTTTATTTACTTGTTTTATTTACTGACAGTCAGCAGTAAATCATGCATTAATGCATACCAGTGTTTTTATCATAGGGCAGGGATAGGCAGCCTCCGGGGCTTGAAGGCTGCATTGTCCCACAGGGGCCTCACACTTTCTCTGCCATTATCCCAGCATTTCAGCTGGAAAATAAGGTACATGAGGAGCACATTATTTGTCTTCCCTCCACCCAGACACGGTGAGCTGTGTTGCCTACCCCTGTCATAGCATGAAGATAGATGAGGTAGGAAAAGCCATGCTTATGTTTATATATCTGTCCCATTCATATATGAAGTGGAGCACTAGGATATGTAACCAAAGGGGCTTAACCTTCTGCTGTACCCTGCAGTGCTGCCTTAAATCAGGAACTTTTCTGTAGCTGGGCTCTAATATTGAAGGTGAACTAGAGTGAAAGATGGGCTGAGCAGAGTGAAACAGGAAGATGAGGAGAGGGACAGGCGATTCTGCTGCTGCTACTGCTACATCTTGTTACCTGAAGCTATAAGGACTATAACTAGAATCTTTGAATTGGGTCCTAACAATACCAGCATCCTGACCCATGGGCCACTTTTCTGTAATAACTGTGTATACATGTACTTTTAGAACAAAAATAATTAAAAATAAATGTCATGTTTTAGACATTAAAATGGTAAAAATGAATTTTATGTTTCATCTAGTGTCCCATTTGAGTAGCAGGTATCCTTCATTTAGTAAAGATCATATTGTGGAAGACCACAGTATTCACAGTATACGTCTGGGTAAAGGCCGCACTTGATGATGATGATTAAATTATTAGAGAACTTTTAGGGTTAGACCAGATGAAAATGTCATACAAAAGAGTTAATCCTACTACCTATCTTGTATTTTACAGGTTTCTGGACACAACGTATCAAACGGATTATGTTCCACCATATGACTATGTACCATATGTAAGTATATGAGAACAGAAAGAGGCTTTTCTGTTTCATCCAGCCATGCAGAACTTTTTTCTGTCTAAACATGCATAGGATTGCACACTTAATGAGAGCCATAGACACACGTGTTACTTCATTTGGAGAATGCAAAGATTTAGATTATTCTCTTGAGAATGGGCACATGCCCCTCCATTGAATTACAAAACTGTAGTCTAGTCATTGGCATCCGTTGTTACTTGGAAATGTTAGCTTCCGTACGATAAAAACTTCTATCAGTTAAAAGGACCAAGAGAATATTGATCTCTTTCAGTGTGTGTTTTTTAAAAAACTGAATCATTTATGCAGCCAGTTTAGTATCTATTAGAATATTTTACATAGCCAGACCATTAAGTGAGAAATAAAATTGTGTTGAAATGTAATAACTTGATCAGAATTCCTTACTTTGTCAGGGATTTTAGTAGAATGGGAATCGTACTTATATAACCATGGCAACCCATGAAAGAAAGTGTTTGTGTGTCTGTGCACATAAAATTTCAGCTATCGTGCTGGAAGATCTCTCTCACACATGTAGGGCACGCACATGCATATATCCTCTCTGAACAATTTCATCTCATTAAACAAAGTAAACATCAGTTTCTTGCAGCAATAAATCTATCCATTCATTTCAAGTTGATGTGTAAACGTACTTCCCATCTGTAATTTCTCTGACACCTCACATCTGTTCCAACATCCCTACCTATATCAACTAGCTTCCTCTTCCTCCTCCGCTCCCTGTTCCTTATTTCTTAGCCTGTTGTCTGCTTTATTTATCTTCATTCAGATGCTCTTCCTTCTGAGTTTCTTAGTCCTTACATTCCTTGTTTCCTGAAGCCAAATGACCCTTGGCATCTTCTCACATGGTTCCCCAGTCCTGAGCTTCCATGCCCAAGTATTCTGTTCTTTCTGTCCAAAAACAGAATTGTCATCCTATCCCAGAGTCCTGTGTAACTCTTTTGCAAGCCCATCTGACCCTATGCTTTTCCCGTAACACCTGCATTGACTGGCAAATCTAAAGCTGGCCTCTCCTGTTCAGTAGTTAGAAAGTCTGTAAACATCGCATCCCATCATTTCAGCTAAAAGGAATGAAAATTGAGAAGAACAGACTTAGCATTCTTCCTTTCTGCTATTAAGAAAGCTTATCTGTTGTGTATTTACTAACATTTTAGTAGCGTTGTTGAGAATCCCCGTTCTCTTCTCTTCTCTTCTCTTCTCTTCTCTTCTCTTCTCTTCTCACTGATCTTGGAGATGTTGCTTTCAGTATACAGATTAGATGTATGGTCTTTTTCTGCTGAAAAATCAAACACATATCTAGAACTGTGTGATTCAGTTACTGTTCAGAAACTCAAGAAAAATAGCTATGAAAATGTCATTATATCATTATTATATAGAAGAATTTCCCTCTAGTGTTAAATAAAAATGAGGCATGAATTCTTCATAGAAATGAGTAAAGCTTTCAAAAGCCTTTATTTTAGGGCTGAGCTATACTTACTTTATATAGTTTATGAAGGATTCTCAGACGTGGTGATTCCTTTTTATGAATTGAAGATTTACAGTTATTGACTGTAGCTTCTCTAAAACCCCAGGCGATCAATCCATTAGGAGTGTGTGTGTGAAAGCCCTTATCCTCTAATTTAGTTATAAAACAAACATTGGCATCACTGGAATTTGAGGGAGAATTAGGGCAAGTACTGCACCCAGACAAGTAGCTTGATCCCCTATATGACACCTGTTGCTGGACTTCGGTAGGTTTTTTTTTTTTTGGCAAAGAAATAAATTTTTCACATATTATTTAATTGAATCATAAACTGAACGGTGAGATCTGGTTCAAACATAGATGGCATTTGGTGGCAAATCATTGGTTAATTAACAACCCAAAATTAACTAAAAAATGAACAGCTTTAGGTTGTTTTAACCATAAACGTACCAGAGTGCTCATGTTTAGATGTTAACACTAAAAACCTATGGTCATTCACAGGTTTTTGTCTCAAATTGGGAGCAGCATATGTGATGCATGTGTCCCTACAAATCATTGGTTAGTTAACGCATGATTTGCCACTGACATCCTCTGTGGCGTGTGAATTACCTCAATCCTAAGCGTGCTTACTTAAAGCTAACTTAACACTCACTATCAAAAGCAATAGGATATGCCTCAGAGAAAATATGTTTAGCAAGATTTCTAAAAGAAAAACATGATGTTGTTTTTCTTTTAGAAATCCAAATGTGAGATAAAGCTCAGGCCTCCTCCCAAGGCAGACAAAATCTTTCACAAACTTATTTGATTTTAGGATTCTGTATTTGCTCTGAAAAAAGTAGGTGTTCTATCCAGGAACTGTTTCACAAGTTCAGATTTTTCTGTTCAATAGTTATTACTATCCTACTATGTAGGATTCTTCCAGATGGAAGCCTCCTAACACCAATTAAAAAGCATTTTGCACATATTTAGTCTTTTCTTGCTGGTAAAAAAAGAAAGATACCAAAGAAATTGTGGGGAAAAGAATAGTTTCAAAGAGATGTTGTTGTCATGTGGACCCTTCATAAATCAGCCCCAGAAGGCAGTTTGCACGATAAACCTCCCTTGGGAGCATCCATAGTCGTTTCATCAGTTTCTTTTAAAAATAATGCACAGCTTATACCCGGAAAACATGGAGGACAATAGGGAGGAAAGGCCCCAAAAAACCTGTGGACAAGTTTGCCGGCAATATTGCTGTGTAGAAGGGTTAGAGGGGGAGAAAGAGTAGGCCCCCTGCAGCCTGGCAAAGGTCACCATGTGGCCTTGGCAGTGGTAACTAAAGTGTCTCCTGTTTGGAAACACTAAAGACTGCTGCTATAGGTGCCTCGTTAGGGCACGGGACCTTTGCAGGTCCTCCATGTCCCTGTATAATGGCCAATATTACAGGTCTGTTCCTTAAAAAAAGATCAAAATCCAAAAGCTGTGGCAGGTATCTGCCATCTTATTATCTCCCACAGATAATGTTCAGTGTCAATGTTGAGCATTACAGGTTGAGAAATATTAAATGATGGCACTGATCAAAGGCAAGCAGCCAATAAGCTCCTTCCAAAATTGCTGCTGCCATACAGGCATATTCAGGGGGAAGGAGGAAATGACTGGCGGTTGCCACCCTGCCAGGGCATCTAGGTGGTAGTGGCCAGTGGCACCCAGACTATCAACCAGTCAGATACCCAGTGGTAGCAAGCACAGTGGCAGATCCCAGTTTGGCACTGGGCAGTATGCCAAAAGCCTACTGAAGCTAGGTGCCAGCCCTGTTTTGGGTTTGGCTTACTTTTAATATACAATGAAAGGTTACATAGTACATAATTTCCCTATAGCAATTTTAATTCCTGTTCAGAAAGGCTCTGGATTACAAGAAGCAAACAGGTTTTTGTTTCTTATTTTAGACTCTAAAGAGAATATGCATTTCAGCTCAGGGAGAGGCCCGCTGTTAAGTGAAAATCAATTTTAAAACATTGCTGCACTTATTGTCCTTGGCGTGCGCATCTCTGAATCTGAGCCAGATGGTCTGAAAATAGATATTTTATTGGAAGAGAAAATTATAAGCAGAACTAAATTTAAAATCAAAGCTTAAGAGCTGATTATTTTAGCTTGACATACTGCTTTTGTCAAACTTAGTTTCTCATTTTTTCCATTATTAACAAAGTCTAATGTCTTTTCTTTAGGTTACACCTGATACAGTTGGCTACTCTGTAGTTCACAGAAAATGTCATTCTCAGTTTACCGACACAGCAGATTACAGAAGACATGGTATCAATACATGGCAAGACGAGAGTGGTATATATGCTAATGCAGACTTAAAGCAAAAAGTATTTCCTGTAACCAACCCTATACCAACAAATGTGCATGAAAAAGATTCTTAAGCACTAAAAAATAAAGTATTTCTGTATGTATTAGATCTCCAAATTAACACTATAGCATTTAGAACATTTGCTTCCATTATAAATCTAAACACTTATACAGAGGACATAGTAATTGGGATCTGGTTAATTTCCCCTTGTATTTGATCTTTCCGACTAAATTCTATGTTCATGCATGTCTGCATAAACATGCAAACTACTTAATTATCTTTTTATCTGGTGATGCTTGAGATGGAATGGGACTGTATTAACCATGTGTACTACTGTACTATGATCCTTCCCCACTTTTTTGGGAGGGGGCTGTTCAGTAAGCAGATTTTTAAAAAATAAGTATTGCTTAGTTGCACAAGTGCACATTTGCACATGGAAAATACACTGATTAACTAACAAACTATTTTTGATATGCATGAAAATACATAATAACTAAATAAACTGTTCCGAGATCGCGGTTCAAGCAGTGATAATAACATAGAGTACCTCAAGCAAGCATCAAACTTTCCCTTGAAGGATTCTTTTTAAAGTTAATTCAAAATCTGTTAAAAATATTTAATTGATTTATACTTTTTTAACATGGGGAATAAAAGCAGAGTTTATGTATCCAGTGAAGTGTCCCTTTGAACAAATGGAGGAAGTGAAATGAAGAATCTAAAAGCTTTTTAAATAAAGTAACAGCATAGCCAAAATGTTTCTCTAATGAATAATTAGTCCCTGTGGCATTAACCTGTCCCCATGCCAGATTTCTGCCATGCACCAGTATACATTATTGACATTCCACTAGAGGACACTTATGTTGCTGCTACATCAAGAAAATAAGTGGAGTGACAGCATTGGATATTGCCCAGGAAGTGCACTAGTTGAAGACATTCATGTACAACATGCATATTTATCTAAAAAGCACAGTGGATTGGATTCACTGTGTATGACCTAAGAAGTTCTATTGAGTTCAATGAGGTTCAGTCTCAGAAAATTGTATATGGCTGGAATCTTAGTTAGTTGAACTTAGGCTCCAATGAGTTAGTCATGACAACAAGTCCCATACCTTTCAATGACAATTAAGTTCAGACCTCTGTGTGTGTATGAATCTACTTAAAAACCTCATTATATTCAGTGGGTCTTGCTCCCAGACGCATGGATATAAAACTAAAGCCTAAAGGCACTTAATTTAGACTAGATTCAACCCACTGGATTTTATACCCATTACAGGTTCTTTCAAATTGTCTCTTTCCTGGTTTGACCATGCACAAAATGAAATTTTAATGTTGATCTGCAGTATTCCAGGTGGAGGATCAATTTCTTTAGTGTTGCATTCAAATGGAGGAGTACATCTTTAGATACCCACATGCCTAGGGGTCTCACAGCAAATCAATGACCCTGTCTACATGGAATAGAAAATCCTAGGTTAATTAACTCACAATATGTAATGCATGAGTAGGAGGGGGAATCACATGTTTTTCACCTCCTCTTTTAATCAAGAGATTATGCTCACCTGGATTGTAGGCTGCAAGTATGACTAGGGAACCTGGAATGTTAGCTTCTTTAGGGACTAAACAACCTAATGCATAATGTATTGCTGATGGATTAACTACTGGGTTGTTCAGCCCCTAAACAATGCAACACACCAGGTTCATACATCATGCACAATTTGCTACAACCTCTAAAATAACAGCATTGCAAGAACATGACACATTAAAGTAGGGCCAGGGACGCCATGAAGTGGGGTGAAACTGCTGCAGAGCAGAAGCAGCAGCAAATTATATACTTCCTCCTCCATGGGTGCTGGTGGGTGGGCAGGTGCTCTGGAGAGCCCTGCTGCTTGTGCTCCCACTGTGGGAGAAAGGAGCTGACAGTACTCTCTGGAGCTGCTGCCTGCTCAACAGTACAATAGCAGGTGCTCCATATAATCCCACCAGCTCTGCTCTTTCTCTGTGGCAAATGTCACAAGAGGAGAGAGAGCAGTCACCTTCTTTCTGCATTGTACGAAAAATCCTTTCTAGGAAATCCACTTTTTCATTCCCAAAAGCCTGGTTCTAGCAGGCCTTCCTCAGAGTCAGGCACTGTTATGGAAAGTTGTATCCCTGGAGACTGCCTTTATTGTGGGTGATGTCTAGTAACACCCCCTCTCTCTCTAGTAACACCCCTCTCATTTGGCTCTGGCTGTCGCTCTGTAAAGTTGTGACAGTGCTTTTTGTGACTAGTACAGTTCTTCTCAGCAGCAGCACCAACAATGATGGTACAACAGTAACAGTAAGGAAGTAGGTGAAAGGGAAGATGGTGGGAGGTGGGAGAGAGACATGGCAGAGGTTTTAGGAGAGCTTGCATCAACCCTGCTTGGAACCACAAACTTTTCCACTGCAGTGGAGTGGAGTGTTTTGGATACAGAAGGCAGGAATATAGTGGCATTTGAACTTACAGTAGCATCTGGAGGAGCAGAAAGCATGCAGAATCAGCCACTTAGCTAGAACATCAAAACCAGAGAAATGGTCTCAGCCTTATACAGGTGGCTGCGAGGTTGTGAAAGGATTCCGTGATGGCCTTCTTCAAGAACTCAAGCTGCCTGATAACTATGTGTAGTATCCCGTTGTTCTCCAGCACTGCATTTAATTACATGATGTTAATGTCTTGTGAAACAGACATTGTGGTTGCTAGGACAATGTGAAATAGTGGGACTTGCTGCTGAAATTCAGCAAGGAGGGCACAAAGCAGTTTGGAGGGTTTGAGGGGTGACAGAGCTGTGGGGAGTACTGTGTGTCCACTGTACTGTATTTGTTTTTCACTTGGTGAGGTTTTTTTTTTTTTTTGTGGGGGGAGGTGGAGTAGGTAGATGTTTCTCTGAGGAACACCAGTTTGCTTTTTGTAAAATGGGTCTTTCATTGGGCTTTGTGGAGCAAATATGTCATTTAACATTTGGATCTCAGACTCCACCTCTCCCCTTTTATGACTTGTCATGGCCACTATGGCAACCATTTTGTAAGTGTCTGCAGTACTCTTTCAAAATTGCGGATGGGCTCATCCCAAATGGTTAGAAACCCAAAATACAGTGTGTGGCAGAAATACCTCCCACATTTTAAAGGTTAAAAAAAGGAAAAAGAAACAACATTTGTTAAATTAATTTCACTATTGTTTAAACAAAGGATTACAGTTTTTATTCATTTGGTTTTAAAAATTACATCCTCCAAATGATGGCCTCTATTCACTATAGACTGTTGTAGACGATTTCTGAAGTTTTCCATCACTCGAAGAGTCATTCCAGGCGGTATTTCTGCAATCTTTTGACAAATAGGATCCTTTAATTCTTCAATGGTACCCGGTTGATGTTTGTAGATCTCTGCTTTCAAGTAACCCCAGAGAAAAAAATCACACGGGTTGAGATCGGGCGAGTATGCAGGCCATTCATTGTCACCATGTAAGGAAATCAAATGTCCTGGAAACATTTCCCTCAGAGCTTCCATTGATCTTCTTGCTGTGTGCGCGGTGGCTCCATCTTGCTGAAACCACACATCCTGAAGGGTTTTGGTTCTTTTGGTTCCAGAAATGTCTGCAGCATCTCCACATACCGGTCAGATGTTACTGTAACCAAGTCAGACAATCCCAAGGCAGAAGCATGTTTACGAGTTGAACGTGTAGGAAACTGAGTAACAGAAAGTCTCACAGCTTGAACACTTTCTGGAGTTTGAGCGCTTCGAGGTCTTCCAGGTGGCTTTCTTTTAAGTGCTGAACCTGTGGCTCTGAACTTTGCAACCCATAGCAGCATTGTTTTTCTATCTGGAACAGCATTCCGACCTAACATGTAATGAATTTGAAAAGTTCTCTGTGTTGCAATTACAGATTCACCATTCTTCAAAAACGTTTCTACAGCAAAAGCACGCTGTGCACCAGTCCAAACCATAATTGCTAGATGTGGGCATATGAAAAAAAAAGGGAAGTCATTAGCTAAATGAAGACATCATTGGCACTTGCATAAGTTCATTAGCAACACATAGGTGAAAGTTTAAAATGTGGGAGGTATTTCTGCCGCACCCTGTAGATTCAAACAAAAATGTTTGCATAACTATAAATATAAAAACACACTTGTATAGTTTATAAATAATATAGAATATGGATTCTAACACCTTATATTTTCAAAAAAACTTTCTGATATTTCTTACTAATGTCATTACTGCTGGAATAGACAAGAAAAGAGAATACACAATGTTAACTCTGTTGCTACATTTGTCAAAAACTAATTTTAGTTTGTCCACCAGCCTGACACTACAGTATTGGCTAGAGTAAATATTTAAAGAACATGGGTTTTTTGTGTATGCAAACCCAGAAAACAATCCAAGGCAATGTTTTCTTAGGATTTTCCTCACTTCACTTTTTTGCACATCTCAAAAGTGAATAAGGAAGGATAAAGCATAGAGGGCACCGCTGTTCTCAAAGCCTGGCTGTTGTATTCATTCGTGCTTGGCTTGTGTTTCGTTTGTTGTTAATCAGAATGGAAGCTCACATTGTTACTCGTATCTGTCTTTAACAGAAATTGGGGGTGCATGGGGACAGGGACTTGCATGTTGGTAAACTTTCTTGTTTATAGAAATGGAATATAGAATGAAAGAAAGACGTGACTTTTGACCAAATTTTCACTTATATTTTCCCACTAATTCTTTAGAGCCAGGCAGTATCAGAGCACCATATCAGAGTACCACACTTAATCAGAAGGAAATTGGAAAGAATTAGCTTTCTAAGTGCACATTTATTCAAACTGAATTACATTTATGCAAAATTACCATGACAAAAACAAAAAGTAGTACAAGTTTCCATAAGGGAAATACAAGTAAATCATAAGATATGAGAGAGAGAGAGAGATCAAGGTCAACCATAAAGATATCTGTATGTATATCAGAAAAGAAACTAACAGTCAGTTGGACTATTGGATATAAAGGAATTAAAAGAGCAGTAAGGAGAATAAGAAAGACTACAGAAAAACTGAATGAATTCTTTTCATCTGTTTACACAGCAGAGGATTCAGGAGAAATGCCTGTTTCTGAATGTATGTATTCAGAAAGGGAATCTGAGGAATTAAAGTAGATAGTGACAACAGATGAAATTCTCAGCTTCCTTGACAAACAGAAAGTTAAGAAATCACCAGGCCCAGATGGTGTCCATTCTATAGTTCTTGAAAGAGATAAAATATGAAATTGAAAAATACTAAATTACCATTTTGCAAAAACACACCCCTAAGATTGGTCCCATATGGAAGGACAAGCTCAGCTGAAAAAGAAACAACATGGCTTTTGCAAAGGTAAGTCCTGCTCTTTGAGAGTATCAAAGGTGAGAATGGGGCAATCTGGTAGATATTGTTTGCTTGGGCTTCTGAAAGGATTTTGACAAAGTTCCTCACTAAAAGATTCATTTGCAAACTTAGCAGTTATGTAATAAGGTGTGTGTGGAGGTCCTCTTATGGAACAGGGATTGGTTCAGGAACAGAAAGCACAGAGTGGGAATACATGATAATTTCTCCTAATGGAAACATGTAAATAAACTGTGGAGTCTTACAAGGTTCTATATTAGGACCAATGCTTTCCAATCTGTTCATAAATTATCTGGAATCAGGAGTGGCC